TAAATAGCCCAACCTTGATACTCCTCTTAGGCCAAGCCCAAGCAATGATAATGGACCAATCAAACCAAACCCAAGTTTGCAATTTCCCGTGGACCCAGCCCACATCTGATACTTCTCAGATCTCGTCGATACCGACGAAAATATGTTACCGGAAAGATATCCGGTCATTTGGAACGAAGCAGAGGGAGGTTCGATGGTGTATGACCACGCCGGTACGGAAGCTGGATCCGATGAGGCCTTGCGAGAATCAAAACTCAGTGGCCGAGTCGGAGGCGGTGGATCTGGAGGGATCGGTGGGAATAAAATAATTTTTATATTTTTTTATTAAGAATTTCTAATGGAATTCTACCATTGGAAGAGAAACAATTTAAATCTATTGAAAGAGTTTTAAAATTGAACAATGCTCTAATATGATCTATGTCATCAAATCACCAGACGCTGAGCTTACAACCACGAAATCTCTAGAGAAAAGTAGAAAAAATTTTAGAAAGAGAAGTTTTCGATTTTAAACTTTTTTATGACTTTCTCATCGGTTTGGAAATTGTTTTCTACAATTCTCAATACTCTTTCCTTTCTATTTTAGTTATTTTCATTCCCGTTATTTTATTCTATGAACCAATGACACCATAAAAGGATTATACATATTTCTTTTTTTCTATTGGACAAGAGGAATTGGTTACCCCAACGACCGAGAACTATTCACATTTTATTCCATCATATACGTAAGTAACAATAACCAAAAAAAAAACAGATAAAATATTATTAAAAAAATGTTTGATCAGAATCCCACTAGATTGAATAATCAACAAGCCTTGCAACTCTTTCTACATGTACCGAAGTAATCTGGTGAACCAATCATATAGACAGGATTCTTCTTACACTCCCCAAGCTCAGCCCATTTCCCACAGTTGTCATCTTCATCACTGCATTCACTACTCTCATCATCATTTCTTGCTTGTTTCTTTGCATACATCAGTTTTGTCGCCACCAACAGTTCCCCTTCCGCAACAGGGCATCTAAAATGAGTGCTTGTCTGATCCACTGATGCATTTAGGTGCCTGGTGAAGAACAAAACTGCGTTTCCTTTAACTGGTCTTAAGATGTTTCCGGTCTCTGAACAGTCAGACCAACTCTTTTTGTTTTCCACCTAAACAACAAATGGATATAACTGTTTTTTTGGTTCTAAGGTTATAGATCTCTATTTGTTAACTCACCTCTGAATTTGGGAAAAGAAGCTCTCCGCCTTGAGTTGTGTTTGAGACGTAGAGAATGACAGTTGCTAACAAAGATTCAAGCGATACCGAGCTAGTCTTCTCTCCAAAATAATCCACTTTGTTTCCTGACTTCTCAGAAGTGTAACGTTTTACTTTGATCGGACCGCTGTTTTCTGAAACATGTGAGTTTGGCCAAGGAGAAAGGGATTACAAATCTAACTCAAGAAAATAGGCTTTCCAAGAGAAATCACAAAGTCTCCATAGATTGAAAACCAAAATAACAAAGGTTAGTACTAATCAGTACCTCTTGGAAGGAAAGTCCATGCAGAAATTCTTTCTTCAATCCCAGCAACTACTGGATCCTAGTTAATCCAAAAGTAGCCCCAATATAAGGAATGGAACTATAGCATTCTTGTGGCCATTTCAAGCAATCAAGAGGAAAACTGGTATACTAGGATTAACATCGCACTTTCTAACTTGCTATGGTGTGAAATCATCTATACGTGTCACATACAACTACAAGCATGTATCTTAGAGTCTACTTCAAGGTCACTTAGCACAGTGTTTCAAGAACATATATACAAACGATTTCCAGTCAACCACAAGAATTCGAGAATACTAACAACTTACCGGCACATCTAAGATGTACTCAGAACTCGAGAGCTGTTTCTTTCCATCAATATCCCCTGAGTCAACCTGTGAAGTTTCCTTTCTCTATAGAAACCATTATTACACAGAGAACAGTATATCTCAAACCTGAAAGATGGGGAATTTACCAGAGATATCAGATGATCACACTCTTCCTCTGACAAGAATCCTCTGTAAAGAAAGATCCTGCAAAATGACTTAAATAGTTTCAAAACCCCAAATGTGAAACAATGAAACATACATTACTAACTCTTGCTTCATCGAGAGTACCTGACCTTGGTTGCCATGAAAGCTGAAGAACACGTCTCGGGTCTACAGATTTGGATCCAAAAACATAACTTGACTCTGTATAACTTTTACCTATACTTTCTTTATCTCTCAATTCCTTTCGACTGCAGAAAAGGGAAAGGATTATGCATCAAATCTATAACGAACCAATCGAGAAAAAATTGAGACACATAAAACAGTATTGAAAGTGACGAAACCGGATAGTGATTCGCAAGCCCATTACTGCAAAAATATATTAAATCTCATTCATGAGGTTCGAGAGATCGGGAATGCAACACAGAACAGAGATTCAAGTAATGATAATCGCAACTCGAAGAAATGGTTTAAGAGATGCAGCACCTTCCGCCATAACAGAAAGGAGAAGACATAATCATCAGAATAAGGAAGATTTGGCTAAGGGAAGCCATCGCTGCAGTGATACTGGCAGTGTGGCACATCGCAGGACTGAAAATCTCATGATGAATCCCAAATTCCAATCGACTATTCGATGAACACGACGCAAAACGGCGCCGTTTGATATCGCCATTTTTTTGAGAAATTAGCCTCTATATTACCTAATTAACATATTTCATTATCCACCATATAATAAATCAAAAACTTGATTTTCTATTTTTACCCTTAATAAAAAATAAATAAAAACAAAACCCTAATTCATTTTTTTTCCAGAG